AGCTGCTGGAGCACGTGACTGCCAGCCTGAGAGAGCAAAGCCCGGGGACTCTGAGTCAGTTCACACATGAGGGCTCAAGTGCAAGGTCCTTGCCAAATGCCACCTACACCTGGGGCCACCCTCACTGAAATGTCACTCCCAGCCCCTCTATTCCCCCTTGCTAGTTGCCTGCTGTACTGTATATTCTACTTTCTTATTTATTGTCTGTTTCCCCCTAATGTAAGCTCCCTGAGGGCAGGAAAGATGTCTGCTCTGTTGTCTGCCCCAGTGCCAGGCCTCAGTGCTAAGCGAGTAAGGGCAAGTCAGTGGGAAACTGCTGGCACCAGGCGGGCCCTGCCTGAGTGCCATCTGTCCTTTTTATTGTTGTCGTTATTTATTGTTCTTGGACTTGTTCATCTATGTCTGAGACTCTCCCCACATCAGTGTTTCTGGCCTCCGTCCTTTTAGTGGGTGTATAGTATTCGGAGCATGGATGTCCCAGGTTTGTGTCTTCAACAGTACGTGCCAGGGCCTGGGGATCCAGTAGTGACCAACTCAAACCCCTACCCGCATGGAGCTTAGGTCCCAGAGGGGAGGCAGGCAGTAAACAGCCCGCCCCTCAGTGCTGGCAAGGAAAGCCCACAGAGCGGGAGTGCAGGGCACAGAGAAGGAGCTGGTGGGGAGGCAGTGTTGTTCATGCAGGCTGCCCAGGGCATCTACAGGAAGAGGGCTGTGGGCACGAGGGAGCAGCAAGTGCAGAGTCCCTGTGGTCAGAGCACACAGGGCTGGGGCCAAGGGGTGGGCAGTTAACAGGACATGCCCAGGAGATTGCAGGAGCTGGACTTGCAGAGCCTCTGGCCCTCATGCCCACTAGAGCTGTGCTCTGAGTAAGGGTCTGAGCACAGGCCAGGTGTAAGCTAAGCCCCTTCACCAGGATCGCTCTAGATGCTGTGTTGACCATAGCAGGGCCAGGTGGAGGCACGGGACCAGTTTGGAATTTGAGGCTGGCTCCTGGCCAGGATGATCATGGACAGGATGCGTAGCCTCCTTGTTGATGGTTCTTTCCAGATTTTTATATTCCATGCTCACACATCTCTGTGCACATAAATAAGCACTTATCTGCAATGGATTCCTGGAGGTGGGAAGAGTATGCAGATTATAAACGTTGCTGTGAACTCAAATTTTTCTCCAGAAATACCCTATTACTATACCACCATACTCAAGAGCCACTCCTCCACCTGACCAACGCTAGGGTGAGCAGTCCTGTTAATTTTTGGCAACCTGATGGGCATGATAACCTCATCCTTTGCATTTTCCTGATGCTAATGAGGTTGAGCCTGTCTCTACAAATTCACAAATCTTTGGTGTTTCTCTTTGTGGGAATGGCCTAGGCAGTCTTCGTGCTTAGTCTCTCTCTTCCCAAAAGGTATTACCATTCATCTTTCATTGAATTTGCTAGAACTGCCATAAAATGTAAACAAACAAAGACAGGAGTAATAGACTTGCTTATTTTGTTCCTGACTTTAAGTGGAATGACGCTGGCATTTTGGGTTTTATATGACTCAGGATATTGATAAAACCAGCTATATAACCCACAATCAAGTATCCTGTAATTGAGATTTCCTCCCTTTGACCATAAGCTTTTCCTCTCAGAGCTATTAATATATATAGACAGCTGGGCACGGTGGCTCACGCCTATAATCCCAGCACTTTGGGAGGCCGAGGTGGGCAGATCATGAAATCAAGAGAGCGAGACCATCCTGGCCAGCATGGTGAAACCCCATCTCTACTAAAAATACAAAAATTAGCTGGGTGTGGTGGTGTGCGCCTGTAGTCCCAGCTACTCAGGAGGCTGAGGCAGGAGAATCGCTTGAACCCAGAGGCGGAGGTTGCCGTGAGCCAAGATTGCACCGCTGCACTCCAGCCTGTTGACAGAGCGAGACTCTCTCTCAAAAAAAACAAAAGTAGACATTGTCTTCTGGAAATTTAATATTGCTGAAGAGATATCCAAGACTAGTATGATTTTTTTTCATCATTTATGGGTAACTTGTTTGTTCTCTTTGAATGCTGATAGGATTTTCTTTACCCTTGGAGATACTGTTTGTCATCTAGATGCAGTTAGGCGTTGGACTCCTGTCTGTGATTGGCAGATCCAGCTCTGTCTTTGGCTCAGGATGGTTCTCTGTGTGTCTCGCTCATTATGGTTTCTGGTTTATTGTTCTCGTCTCTTTCAGAAAGAGCCGTAATCCACAGGTAAAACCCAGCCCTCCTCCGTCTCTCTTCCCTTCTCCTTTCCCTTTGCATTTTAAAAGTTTCTCATGCGTCTCCTCCCTATCACTGAAGCCATTTTCTTTTTATTGACTCTGAACTTTGTCCTTCCTGGTTTTCCATTCTAATGTGGCATTTTCATGTCAGACTGTGTGGCCTTATCGCATCCCTCATTACTTGTTTCATTGAGTCCATCACTTCTTGTATTTTTAGGATGAAAAGTAGATGCTGTCCTGATTTGCTGCTTCCTCTGTGGCATGAGGGTTGTGTTCAGTTGTCTTTGCTGTGTGTCTTTTCCACAGCCCCGTATTGGCTTTCTTCTGTTTATTAGTTTTTGAACAAGGCAAGGTCTAGTCAGCCCTGCTGTTCTCCAGACACTGATGTGGGTGGACTCTTCATGAGCCCTGCCTCTCACCAGGCTGTCCCGGAGTGGCTCACCCATGAACGGACTTGACCTGGGGAAGGGGGTGCTGAAGGCTGTCGTTGGAGCTTAGCCATTCAGTTCCTAGGGCCAGCTGTTGGAATCCGGCTCCCTGTGTGTGCGGCCCTCAGTATTGCTGGATGGTTTCGAGCCCTTTCTCAGAGTCGCCCTGTAGGGGAGGGCACCTGGGGGTGTTCAGTGGGTGAAGCGTGTCCAGGAGAACCTCTGTTTCCCACAGGATTTCTGTTCCGGTGTCCGTTCTTCTCCCACAGCTTCCTCACGAAACATCTTCCTGGTAGTAGAGCTCTTGACAGTCCAGCCTTGACCGTGGTTCAGGCCGTCTTCTTCCATGGCGGGGGATAGCAGGGATCTCAGCACTAGCCACTTCCTCAGGGGGATTTGGACTCCAGTGCACTCTTCATGCTCCTTCCATCTGAGCGACAAGCAGCAGGACGGATCTTCACTTTGTGGCGAATGATTGGGACTTCTAGGGCTGCTGAAAATAATCCCTCCCCCCAACCAATTGTATGATCCTTGGTCATTTCACGTGGGTTCTGGTGGGAAGGAGGTGGAAGGGGAGGCTCTCCCAGAGCTAGATGGGAATTGGAGCATAAGATGTTTCACAAGATTTGGGGTCTGGAATCTAGAAACCCTTCTCTCCCCTTGTTCCGCCTGCCCTGGGAAGGGCCAGACGGATGCCATGCAGAAGTGGCAGTGCCACACTGGACCAGAGTTGGGGCCGAGCACAGTGCAGTGGCAGGAAGCAGGAGGTCCCCGCGTAGCCAAGCCTGGTTGTAGGGTGGGGGTCCCATCTTCAGATGCCGGCAGGCCTGGAATCCAGGGCCGTCATCTGCTACTGTGTGGTCTGGGGTGAGCTACCCACCCCTGTTGGCACCTCTGTAGAACAGTCCCCTGCACACCATGTAGACAGTGATCCAGAGTTGCTGGGAAGGCTGTGTGTTGGGTGCTTAGCGTCATGTCTGTAGTCAGCAGCATCACCCCAGAGCCTCACAGCTGTGTTCGTTAAGCATGACCACTTGTGTCAAGCAGGGCCTTCATCTGGCTCTCTCCAGTGCCCTGCTTGAGTGGGTGCCTGCTTCCTGCTGGGACCCTGCTGAAAACGCTGTCGTGGGGATGGGGGGACATCACTAGGTGAAGAAGGGAGGACCCAGGATGGTATTTTGGCCTCCCACCTGCTAATCAGTCCCACCCCTCCCTACTGCCTGTCTCTGCTCACCCCCTCAGTTCGTGTCCAGGATGATCACTGGTCTGTCTTTTTTCAGCCATTCCACCCACCTACCCCAAAGTGCTGAGGTAAAGCTTCTGTCCAGCACAGCAGTGCGAGCCTGTCCAAATGCGAGCTGAGTTCCGTGGGCCTGGCACTCAGAGTGCCTCAGCAGCTCCCAACCATTCCTAGTAAATGTGAACCCACATTGTCCTGGTCCCTCCCCATCCCACTTGTACATGCCTGCGGGGCCTGGGACTCCCGAGCTGCTGGGAGGGCTCCACACCTGCCAGGCCCCTCTGCCCTCTTTAGCCAGCAAGCCCTGTCTGTCTCCATGTCTCCTGCTAGCCTTGGCTCCTCCTCCTGTAACTGTGCCGTGTGTAATGGCCAAGATTTCTGAACCCGGCTCCCCTACCCCACCATCATCTGGGGAAATTTGTAAAAGGCAGATCACCCATTCAGAGGGACTGTGTACTTCTCCCAGCACTCGACAGGCTGGGCGGTGACTGTCAGTGCTCTTGTTTTTTCCCAGCACTCCACAGGCCGGGCGGTGGCTGTCAGTGCTCTTGTCTGCCTTCTGATGAGGCCTCCAGCAGCTCTGTGTCGGGGGCTGAGGCTGCCTCATTCAACCCTCTTCCTAATCCATGGCAGATAGGAGCTCTGTCAATAAGAACAAATAAGTGATGTGATGAACTAATATGTGTGTGATTGATTGCAATGAAAGGGCAGTTTTGGCTGGGTGCGGCTAGCCACAGCTGGCCTGTAATCTCAACATTTTGGGAGGCTGAGGCGGGCAGATCGCTTGACTTCAGGAGTTTGAGACCAGTCTGGGCAACATGGCAAAACCCTGTCTCTACCAAAAATACAAAAAATTAGCCAGGCATGGTGGTGAGTGCCTGTGGTTCCAACTACCCTGGAGGCTGAGGTGGGAGGATCGCTTGAGCCCAGGCACTGCATTCCCTGTGCAAAGGAGTCAGACCTGTCTCCAAAAAAGAAAGAAAGAAAGAGAGAGAGAGACAGAGAGAAGAAAGAAAGAGACTGCAGTTTCATTAGTAACAGAAAGAGTCAAACGGGTGCTCTGCCTGACAGCATCCCTCTGTTTGCCAGCTTCATTCCAGAGCCCAACATGAATGGATACGCGGAATTTCCCCCCAGCCCCAGTAACCCCACCAAGGAGCCCATGGAGCCCCAGCCCAGCCAGGTCCCACTTCAGGAAGATGTGGACATGAGCAGTGGCTCAAGTGGACATGAGACCAACGAAAACTGCTCCACGGGGCGGGACTCGCAGGGCAGTGACTGTGACGACAGTGGGAAGGAGCTGGGGATGCTGGTGGAGCCACCGGATGCCCACCAGAGGTGAGTTCAGCCTCTGGCCAGATGGAGGCTGGGCAGGTTGTTTCCTCAGTGGCTCATTTCTGCTGTGATTTGATTGCTTTTGCAATCTTTAAATCATGATTATCAAGTTTTTCAAGATTTTTGAAAATGATTAAAATGTGCCAGTGTCTGTCCTTCCTTATAATGAGGCCCTGTTGATTTTGTAGATCCAGTTGCCAACAGACAGGTACTGGGTAGCGTAAGGAGATCTTGGGAGGTAGCAGTGGTGGGTAACCCAGCCAGCGGCTGCTTATACAACACTGGGCGGTTTATAGAAAAGGAACTGGTCCCTGTTGTCATGTGTTTCTGTGTCCTGGTACTTAGTTTTTCTCATGTCTGAAAGTTTTATGTTCCAGCTTTATCTTAACCTTGTATTTTTTAAAAGTTGTCTTACCATGGTGTTATCTAACCTGTTATCACTGGTAGGGTGGCAGGGGAAGATGTGTCTGGACCATACAGTTGTCTAAATTTTGCTTTTATTTCTTGTTTTCATAGTCCAGATGCCTTTAGCCTGATGATTACAAAATCTGAACACAACCCATCTACAAGTGGCTGCAGGTAAGGCCAATTAGAACTTCGTACACAGAGTTTTTAGAGAAATTGAAAGACTTCTTATTGGAGGTTAGTTTTTTGGGAGTGACATGGCTTTTTTTAAGCTCTGCTAAAACCCGTCTGTGTGGCTGTGTGAGTATGAACCCAGCCTTACCCTGGCCTTTCAGACAGTGACTGTGTCCCCTCGCCATCCAGAGCCCCCAGGATGTCACTCCAGCACCTGTAGCTTCTCCCAGCTCTACTCGAAACCGACTTTGCCTGAGTCTTGGGCATTTTCATCTAGAACATTCTTCACCCTTCTTAGGTGTTTGTAACAAACTTACCCTATGTCAATTTTCCTGTCACCTCTAGAGCAGAACCCGGCTCCTAGTCCAGGACCTGTGGGCACTTTGCATTGCCTGAGAAACCTTGATTTCCATCATTCCTTCTGCACCCTCTGTTCCGAACAGGCCCATCTTCATCAGCCCTGCTGTCCTGTCTCTCTAACATCTCTGTATCCTCAATTAATGTTTGAAGACCCTTCTCCACAATCCCCTTTTCTCTGTTCATGGCTCACTTTTATGTCCCAGGAAGTCACTGTGCTGTCCTCTGTAATCCCATCACTCAGTCCTTCTTTACCTGGGGCAGGGAAGGAGGGCACAACTCAGGGCACAGTCCACTGCACCAGACTGTGGGTCGGCCAGTATCCTTTCCTGAGCAAAGCCTAGCTCTAACCCTTGGCGGAAAAGAACACAGCTGGAGGGACTTCTCCAGCATTCAGTTGGGTTAGAGCGGTGATTCTTGACCAGGTACAATTTGTCTCCCAGCAAGAACCATCTGGCATTGTCTGTCGATAGCTCTGATTGTCATACTTGGCTGTGGTCTTCCTGGTCTATTGTGGGTGCGGCCAGGGATACTGCTAAATGTCCTGCAGAGCCCCACAAAGGACCATCCAGATCAAAACGTCTTTAGAGCCGAGGCTGAGAAAATGGACAAGAGGCACGTTTCTTCAGGAAAGGACACCTAGGAAGCTAACATTTGGCTGCCTCTTTCTTGAATCCTGCAGTAGCGACCAGTCTTCGAAAGTGGACACACACAAAGAACTGATAAAAACACTAAAGGAGCTGAAGGTTCACCTCCCTGCAGACAAGAAGGCCAAGGGCAAGGCTAGTACGCTGGCCACCCTGAAGTACGCCCTCAGGAGTGTGAAGCAGGTGAAAGGTACGTCGACCTCACACATCTGCTCCAAACCTATAGAAATATGTTTTAAATCCCCCCAAATTATAGCTCAGATTGTGTTGACTTTCTAAAACTCGAGGCTTATCACAGCTCACTGTAGCCTCGACTTCCGGGCTTAAGCGATTGTCCTGCCACAGCCTCCTGAGTAGCTGGGACCATAGGCATGTACCACCACGCCCAGCTAATTTTTGCATTTTTTGTGGAGATGGGGTCTCACTATGTTGCCCAGGCTGGTCTCGAACTCCTGGACCCAAGCAGTCCTCCCACTCCAGCCTGCCAAAGTTCTGGGATTACAGGTGTGAGCCACTGTGCCTGGCCTGGCCTTTTTCTTTACAGTGGAAACAACCAGCTCTGGAACTTTGAAGAATTCCTCAGCTGTGTTGGTCTGTTGTGACGAGCAGGCAGAGACCATCAGTGTGAGCCAGGGTGGGGAAGGAAGGTGCCCTGCAGAGCATCTTCACACCTCCTGCCAGCTGATGTGTGAGCACCTCCCGATTCCGTGGAGCTGTGCCTTTTCATGTGTTGCACACATGCACTGAGGGGCTGGTGGATCTTTTACATTAAAAACGTGCATAAAAGAAAAATCTGAAAGGCTTAAGGTGAAGCAGTAGCTGTATTCTATTATCAGTCGTTTCAAAGCACAGCGTACAGTTAGGACAAAGTTCTTCACTAGTAATCATGGGTATAAACTCATATTTCAAGCAGTCTTCATATTTTTAAATATTTCAGTAATTTTTCATCAGCAGTGAGCAGGTCATCAGCACTCACCTCTGGGGTCCCTTGAGCCAGGTGTAGAAGGGTTGCTCTGCCATGTGCTAGCTTGGACTTGCATTTTTGGGTGTTGTCTTTGGGTGTCCTATAAGTTTCTCTGCAGGCTCCTCCTTAATCCCATTGTCCATTTGGTGAGGGTTGATACAGACAGAACAAGGTGCCTCGGCTGCTCGTCATTGCTGGTCAGGTCTAAATATAAAATCTGGTGCCCCTGGGATGAGCACCCTGCCATGGAGGGCACCGCTCTGGGCCTGTGTGGCCATGGAGGCCCCGTTTTCCAGAAGGAGGAGCTGGAAGGGAAAGTTCATTCTGATCAGTTGGGGTGCTCTGTTCTCAAGTGATTATGTTCATTTAAGGTGTTTCCCTGTTGACATCTGCAGTAACTTCAGAGCTCAGAAGCTCTGCCACATGGACATTTTCCAGACTTTCCAGCAGTTTATATCTTGATTTCAGAGCATACTCAGATATGTGCCTGTTTCTGAAATTACTGAAGGTGACAAAACTGAAAGCAGATGAGACCCAGCTGTGGATCCAAAGATCTCCTCACCACATCGCAGGAAGCACATGCATGGCAGAATCCTGGGTCAGTCTCCTAACACAGCCCCAGGTTTCATGTATCCAGGGCCTGTTGAGCCCTGAGGGCAAGTGGCAGCGTCGAGCTGGCCCCTTTGCTCCCGCCTGGAGTGAGGGCCGCTGTGGCCGTGAGCACCGACACCCAGAGACAGGCTTGTCACCCCAGAGCCCACTGGATAAGCCAGGATGGCGTGGGAACTCAGATGGAGTGGCCCCCTCCTCTTCAGATTCTATTTTGAAAACTTTCTTTCAAATGTTCTTGTGCCTGCTATTTTTTTAAGCAGTCAGTTCTGCCTGGATGGGGGTGTCTGATGGCATCACCCAGGGAGTCAGATGTGCAGGGGTTGCCATGTGGTCCTGTGTGGAAACGTGGATGTACCATAATGATTAAAGACCTTCTGGAGGCCAGGCACAGTGGCTCACGCCTGTAATCCCAGCACTTTGGGAGGCCAAGGCGGGCAGATCACAAGGTCAAGAGATCGAGACCATCCTGGCCAACATGGTGAAACCTCGTCTCTACTAAAAATACAAAAATTAGCTCGGCGTGGTGGCATGCACCTGTAGTCCCAGCTACTTGGGAGGCTGAGGCAGGAGAATTGCTTGAACCCCTGGGAGGTGGGGGTTGCAGTGAGGTGAGATCACGCCACTGCACTCCAGCCTGGCGACAGAGTGAGGCTCCATCTCAAAACAAAACAAATGGGGCTGGGCGCGGTGGCTCAAGCCTGTAATCCCAGCACTTTGGGAGGCGGAGACGGGTGGATCACGAGGTCAGGAGATCGAGACCATCCTGGCTAACACGGTGAAACCCCGTCTCTACTAAAAAATACAAAAAACTAGCCGGGCGAGGTGGCGGGCGCCTGTAGTCCCAGCTACTCGGGAAGCTGAGGCAGGAGAATGGCGTGAACCTGGGAGGTGGAGCTTGCAGTGAGCTGAAATCCGGCCCCTGCACTCCAGCCTGGGCGACAGAGCGGAAAAACAAAAACAAAAACAAAAACAAGAATAATTAGCTGGTTGTAGTGGCGGGTTCCTGTAATCCCAGCTACTTGGGAGGCTGAGGCGAGAGAATTGCTTGAACCTGGGAGGCGGAAGTTGTAATGAGCCTAGATTGCGCCATTGCACTCCAGCCTGGGTTACAAAAGCAAAAATCCATCTCAAAAAAAAAAAAAAAAGAAGCCCCTTCTGGAGAACGTGAGAGGTAGCTGGAACTCTGACCATGTAACCTTAAATAATGTAGTTGCCACATTTAAAAAATTTTATGATCAAAGGCCTTCTGATGTTTCAGGGAAAAATATCCTGATTTCTGTTTGTGAGTTTGTTTTGCCTTCGCGTATCCGTGTGTTCTGTGTCCCAGGAAGACGGGATTTATATCCTACCTTTTCATTTGAGAAAATAGAGCCCGCAGTTCGTAAGAGCTAGTGACTATCTCCGGCCAAGTGCTGGGTTCTGCCCGCTGAGTGTGAGCACTGTCTATCCTGCAGCCAACGAAGAGTATTACCAGCTGCTGATGTCCAGCGAGGGTCACCCCTGTGGATCAGACGTGCCCTCCTACACTGTGGAGGAGATGGAGAGCGTTACCTCTGAGCACATTGTGAAGAATGCCGTAAGCCTCTTCCCGAAGTTTCTTTCTAAACGGCGGGAGTTCCTCCTCCAGGCGAGCTAGCTCAGAGCAGTGGCCAGTGGCTATAAGGCAGGAACGTTTGGGGTTTCAGCAGATAAGTTCCTACCTTTAAAAGGAAGAATGTGAAGTCAGTGATTATGGAAGTGGCATTCATGTTCTGGACTTCTGCCTTCTGTGAGACTGTCTTCTTCGTCCCTGCCCAACTTTGTCCTGTAGCTCATGGGTGCAAGGACAAATCCACTGTGACTGAACTGGGGGGCTCTGGGTTTTCATGTCCTCAAGGTAAGGAGACAGACTTGGTGACAGTCAGTTCACTTGTCCAGGGCTTTGCGGTCATGAGGGGGAGCTGGGATTGGAGACTCCAAAAACCATGCATTTTTAAGCACACCCAAAGGTGGGCCCCTTGGAGGGCGCATGGGCCACATACACACACACCTGCTCTACCACCCTGAGTTCTCAGCCAGTGAGAACAGATGTAAGGGCCAGTGGGGACCCCACGTGTGCTGGGACCATTGTGAAGCTGGCCTCATAACAGGGCTCCCTAATCCTTCCCATCTTCCTCCAGCGTAACCCCCAGGCAGCCCCCAACCCTGAGCCCAGAGGGCCAGCCAGCAGCAGAGCGCCCATGGTGGGCTGGAGGGGCCCACCCAGAGACCTCTGCTCCCCAGGAAGCCCCTAGAACCCTGGGAGAGAGCAAGGCTGGTAGAGGTTGTTGGGGCAGGCCACTGTCTCTTATACACATCTAGATGTGTATAAGAGACAGGGCTGGTAGAGGTTGTTGGGGCAGGCCAAGTGAGCAGAGGGTCCCCCACCTCCCTGTCACCCAGCCTGGACACCAGGTGCCATGTCCAAGACAGTGGGGTGAGTGGCGCCTTCCAGTGGGTGGAGACAGCTGGAGTTTATTCCAGCAATAGAACCCTGATGTGTTGTTTCGAATAATATCATGTTGGACCTCCCAATATCTGTAACAGGTGTAAGAGTTAAAGAGGAAAGAAACATGAAATGCAGCTTGGCAGTCAAAGACAGGTTTCCTTTAGTGAAAACCTGAGAAGTGCTCCTGGCCGATTTTGATCAGGAGCACTTTCTCTGCAGACTGAGAGTATATGTTGGTTTCAGGGTGAGGGGCTTATCGCAAGCCTGGAATGTTTGTGTGTTGGAGGAGTTTATGGCGGGGCTGGACCGTCTCTGGGAGGGGGAGGTTATCTTGGGACAGGTATCTTTCCGGGTCCTGGAGTGGGGTTATCTCGGGGCTAGCGTGTCTCTGGTCGGGGAGGAGTTTGGAATGTTTCTGGTTGGAGATGTACTTGTGGTTTATGGTCATATTGACCTTAGCCATTAGGCTGATGCCCTTTGGATGTAGGTGAACTTTAGAATGAGGGGCTTGTCCAAGATGGCAATGCTCCTGCTCTGTCAACAGGCAAGATAGGATTTTTTGGTCAGGGCTAGGCAAGGGGCTCAGAGAGCCCCCCACCTCTGACACTCCTGGTGGGCGGCTCCCTCCAGCCTGCCTGCCTGAGTCGGATGTGGCGGCCAACCCCGTCTGACCTTGTCACCAGAGCCCTACTCTTTCTTTTCAGGATATGTTTGCTGTGGCCGTGTCCCTGGTGTCTGGGAAGATCTTGTACATCTCTGACCAGGTTGCATCCATATTTCACTATAAAAGAGATGCCTTCAGCAACGCCAAGTTTGTGGAGTTCCTGGCGCCTCACGATGTGGGCGTGTTCCACAGCTTCACCTCCCCATACAAGCTTCCCTTGTGGAGCGTGTGCAGCGGAGCAGGTGAGGTCATCGAGGTAGTGCCTTGTTTCCTCTGGGGTCTGGAAAGGGGCCAGGAGCTGGGCCCACCCCAGATGTGGTGCAGGTGCCCTACCTCACCTTTCAGAGCCCACCTGTGGGGGCCACCAGCTGCCTGCTCTGGCAAAGGTAAAGGATAAGCAGTTGTTCATCTCTTCAGAATAAATTTAGTTAAAATAGTCTTTTCATACATTTCAGAGAGAGAAACCGTTGAGAATTTTAGAAATGAAGTTGTTTTGAAAAGCTGGAATCTTGCTGCAGTTGCAGTCGTGGGAGGCCGGGTCGGGGGGCAGTGGGGAGCATGAGCAAGGCGCCCTGCTCCCTGCACTCAGGCATCCCCCTACCACCTTGGCAGCTACAACCAGTGAGTGGGTCATGTCCCAGAATGACTTCCTGAGGGTTCTTTGCCTTGACCAGGGCTGGCTTTGGGTATATAGACTGTGAGGTCCCTAGGCAGATGCCACTGGCCCCCGAGGCACTGCAGGCCAAGTGTGCTGCACTGTGGGTGGCAGCCTTCCTAGCTGCCAGGCCTGCCACTGTAGCTATCATCTACCCTGCCTCATTTCCAGGCTCCACTCCCCAGCCAGGCCCTCCCAGCCAGGTCTGGTCAAGTCCCTAGAGCCAGCTGGGGGCGTGCCTGCCTCTGGGCCTCTGCCAGTGCCTCCGACCCCCACTCTCCTCAAGGCCTCCTGTGCCCCAGCTCCTCCCTGCCCAGCTAAGTCAAGGACTAGGTGAATTCTCAGGGGCCTTTCCAAGCTGCTGATTTTGTATCATTTTCTGTAACTAGTCATTGCTTCTGCTTTCCTAATTTCTTTTGAGTAGACGAAATGTTATATGAAAGACCTAGATCTAAGTTTTTTTTTTTTTTTAGTTTAGATTCCCACGAAAGCAGAGATTTCTTTTTTTAAAATCCCTTTCAACTCTTAGGGAAACACCTCTTCCTTCATTTCTGATGAGGTTGCCTGATTGATTTCATATTTTCACTAGACATTTCATATTTTAAAGGAAGTTACTGTTTCACCAAAATACCAATGTAAGCCTTAAATGCCAAGTTATTTCTGTTAGAACTGACTATCCCAAAATTATGTCAGCACTAAATGTTTGGGTTTCTGTTTCACTGTGGCCAGACCTCTGCACACCTACCCCAAAGTCTGAGGCAGCTGAGTGGCCAAAGAAAGAGGCTGACAAATTCAGTTTCTTAGAAAGAAGTATTTAACAGGGACTTAAGAACAGAAGCTGTGCGTGTTGTGGGTGGCGATGAGACAAGACTAGATCCCAGTGCCATTCCCCCAGACCTAGGGCTTCTATGGGACGGGCACACAAGCTTCAGAGGGAACCGGGAGGAATTTGCCCTCAGGGCAGGATTTACCTTAAGCACCTGCTCTTACTCAGGGACAGTAGGTAAATGAAATCTCCAAGGCCTTCCCAGAACTGGGGTTAATCAAAAGTCAGCATGGAGGCTTGGCTTCCAAGATGTAGCTGCTGTGGCCTTCACAGCTTTCTTTGTCGATGTTCTGGACTTCCGTGAGTGTGCTTCGTTGGTGTGTTTGCAGCAGTGCACCGTGAGTGTGTTCAGTTGTAGGTTGCTGTGTTTGCAGCAGTGCACCGTGAGTGTGTTCAGTTGTAGGTTGCTGTGTTTGCAGCAGTGCACCGTGTGTTCAGTTGTAGGTTACTGTGTTTGCAGCAGTGCACTGTGAGTGTGTTCAGTTGTAGGTTGGTGTGTTTGCAGCAGTGCATCATGAGTGTGCTCAGTTGTAGGCTATTTGGTGTGTTTGCAGCAGTGCACCATGAGTGTGTTCAGTTGTTAATCGATGTGTTTGCAGCAGCATCATACACCGTTTTGAAAATGTAAGCTGGCCGGGCACGGTGGCTCAAGCCTGTAATCCCAGCACTTTGGGAGGCCGAGATGGGCGGATCACAAGGTCAGGAGATCGAGACCATCCTGGCTAACACAGTGAAACCCCGTCTCTACTAAAAATACAAAAACTTAGCCGGGCGAGGTGGCAGGCGCCTGTAGTCCCAGCTACTCGGGAGACTGAGGCAGGAGAATGGTGTGAACCCGGGAGGCGGAGCTTGCAGTGAGCTGAGATCCGGCCACTGCACTCCAGCCTGGGTGACAGAGCGAGACTCTGTCTCAAAAAAAAGAAAATGTAAGCCTCCTGGTGCTAAAATTTTAGTGCTGCATAGTTTGGAATGCACCACACTCATGAAGTGTATGTAATTTTAGTCAAAAATGTAGTAGAAGGTTTCTTACATAAAGGATTTAGTTTGTGCTTCCATAAATTTTCAGTTTTCACCTTGACTCTTGCTTGATTCCGCTGCTCCTCTTTTGTTTGTGAGAAATGAGGAACAGTGTATTTAGTTGTTGATTTGGATGAATGACTTTGGGCTCTCTCTTCTAGATTCTTTTACTCAAGAATGTATGGAGGAGAAATCTTTCTTTTGCCGTGTCAGGTAAACCTTGTTCCCAGTTTTCTTATAGAAAACCATACAAACATTTCACCCCAGTGCCGCTCCGCTTGAGGCTGGGGGGCATGAGCCCTGCCTGCAGGGACCCAGCACGCCTGTTTCTGAAGTCTACCAGAAAACACAGTCAGTTGCATTTTAAATGTGTACAGGTTGCTAAGAATGCGGCCAGCAGGGGAGTGATTTAACCTGCCCCTTATGGAAAATGGTGGCCAGGGGACCCTGTACTTTCTCTTTGTCTCCTGCGAAGGCCTGTACCCAGGGTCAACAGAGTTTCTGAAAGCACTGCATCTTTTGGTTGTCTGTGCCTTTTTCTGGGGAGAGACCCACAGCTTTCCCCAAAAGGGTCTTGGTCCAAACCAGGGTGACTGATTGAGCATCCAGCCGCACTGTCGGGGGTGGCCCTGAACCAGACCCTGGCACCCTCATGAGTCAGGGCCGAGGTCCTGGAGGGAGCAGCACACCTTTCCGGTCTGCTTTACCCACCCAGAGTGCAGGCTGCTCCAGAGAAGGGCTGTGGAGCATTCCCACTGGTGGGGGTGTTGACTCTGATTTGCCCTTCAGTGTGATAAGACTGAGGGAGGGACTGAAGCGGGCAGGGGAGCAGGCCCAGCTCCTCAGGCAGAGCAGAGGTACACATCACCTGCAGCGTGGCATGGGGCCCAGGTGAGGAGGGAACAGAACAGGGGACTGTTCCTGTGTCACAGTTCCAAACTTTGAGCGTGGCCCTTCTCCACAGTGTCGGGAAAAGCCACGAGAACGAAATCCACTACCACCCCTTCCGCATGACGCCCTACCTGGTCAAGGTGCGGGAGCAACAAGGTGCTGAGAGTCAGCTTTGCTGCCTTCTGCTGGCAGAGAGAGTGCACTCTGGTTATGAAGGTAACAGCCAAGCCCAGGGCGAGGGCAGATGTTGTCTCTGGCTCCCCCTCAGTTACTCTTGTGGTTCAAACATGATATCTATACAATGGACTCCCAACTGCAGTTCCCCACCCTTGGCTTCTGCACCTCACCTCGGGCAGGGTCTCCATCTTTCTGGAGACTCAGCACACCCTGCTTGTCATCCAGCCCTCCCCATGGAAGATCACGGCATCTGGGTGCCAGCATCTCTCACCCCTGTGCACACCAGTGCTGTGACCCTTCTCCCCTTTCCCTGGCTGCTCTGCCTTTTGTCCACAAAGTGGGAATAGCCCCGACAGGTCTGGGGCCCCACATCCCTCCCATCCTCATCTCCTGCCCCATACCTCAGCCTCTTGGGCCCCTCTGAAGGGCACTGATGTCGCTGCCTGCTCCAGAACCCCAAACAGTTCCTCAAGCCCCAAGAAATGAAGTGCTGGGCATCCCTCCCTCCCCACCTTGACCTATCCTAAATTTTCCTGGAATTTCCCTTCCTCCCAGACAGTCATGCACGGACATGACTCTCCAGGTGAGTCAGCCTCCATACAAGGCTTGCTGTGCCTCTGTATGCCCAGCATTCTGGACCCCGGTCTCTGCTCCTGCTGCCACCTCACTCGCAGAGTGCAGTCATCAGGCCAACTCGCCTCACTATGACCCTCTTGGTCCCATTAGCTCTTCTGGCTACCCCACCCCCAAAATAATATCTGGGTTCTTCTCTTGAAGCGCAGAGGGTACAAGGCATTGTGCCACCTTTATGAGTCCTTCCTGTGGTCCCTCTTAAGATCCTGCTTTGTGGCATCTTGGTCCTTGTATTGGCCGAAATCCCTGGCCAGGAACTGTAGGTGCTCACCATGGCTGCTGAGCAAGTCACATGATCTTCAGATTCTCTGAAGGCAGGTGCATTCTGCAGCTGCTGAACCCGGGGAATCCAGCTGAGTCCGTGCTGCGCTGTGCTCACCACCTTCTCTGTGGTGAATGGCAGCTTTTTTTTTTTTTGAGATGGAGTCTCGCTCTGTCGCCCAGGCTGGAGTGCAGTGATGCTATCTCGGCTCACCGCAACCTCCGCCTCCCAGGTTCTAGCAATTCTCCTGCCTCAGCCTCCCGAGTACCTAGGACTACAGGTGGATGCTGCCATACCCAACTAATTTTTTTTTTAATATTTTAGTAGAGACGGGATTTCACCATGTTGCCCAGGCTGATCTCGAACTCCTGAGCTCAGGCAATCCACCTGTCTTGGCCTCCCAAAGTGCTGGGATTACATTTGTGAGCCACTGCGCCAGGCCAAGTTGACAGCCTTTTAAAAAAGCACTTCTTAAAAGTGATAGAAATATTTTAAGTATGTGACTTTCTCCACAATGTTTGATGTGTTCCTGCATGTATTACAGAATGTTCTTTTCCAAATAGTAAGGTTTAGAAAGGGTACTTAGGGTTCAACAAGTTATTCCCCCAAATTACCAGAGTCTCCTTCAAGAAGGAAAAATGTTGAAATTTTGAATGTTTTGTCCATGAATTGAGGAAAATTTTGGATATATGACTTACTTTATGCAAATTACTCTATCACCTTTGTCCACCTTTATCTAGTTTCTAAACTGTGAAGCTCTCCAGTACAATGGCATTTGCTAAGAAATCTGAATCCAGACCAGGTGCAGTGGCTCATACCTGTAGTCTGTAGTCTGGCACTTTGGGAGGCTAAGGTGGGAGGATCTTTTGAGCCTAGGCATTTGAGACCATCCTGGGCAACATAATGAGACCCTGTCTCATTAAAAAAAAAAAAAAAAGAAGAAATTTGAATCCAAGTATGTAACTCACTTTTCTAAAAGTAATTCGTCAGATCACTCTAGTTTCATCTTAAACATCATAAAGATGGGGCCGGGCGTGGTGGCTCACACCTGTAATCCCAGCACTTTGGGAGGCCGAGGCGGGCGGATCATGAGGTCAGGAGATTGAGACCATCCTGGCTAACACAGTGAAACCCCACCTCAACTAAAAATACAAAAAATTAGCCGGGCATGGTGGCACGCGCCTGTAGTCCCAACTACTGGGGAAGCTGAGGCAGGAGAATCGCTTGAACCCGGGAGGCAGAGGTTGCAATGAGCCGAGATCGTGCCACTGCACTCCAGCCTGGGCAACGAAGCAAGACTCTGTCTCAAAAAAAAAAAAAAAAAATCATAAAGATGGACTTCCAGCTTTATTTTGCTGAGAGTAGCGTTTACGTGGTCCGTGTGGTTTTGTTAACATGGCAGTTTCAATTTACTAGACTAAAACTAGCATTCCGTAGAAGCTGAGAAGGCTGGCCGGTGATCCCACAGCCAGCGTAGGGTTCTCAGTGTGGCAGGCTCTGTTGTTCAGAGTCCATGGTTTAATTTTTTTCTTTAGCTGCTCATTACTCTGAATCTACAGGGTGTTCTCTGGTAGTTTTAATATAACATTAAATATGTATTTCTTAGGATCACTAATGTGTGCAATATTCTATTCTTTCAGCCCCTAGAATACCTCCTGAAAAGAGAATTTTTACAACCACCCATACACCAAATTGTTTGTTCCAGGATGTGGATGAAAGGTATGTGGTCTTGACCCACCCCCTTTTTCATGTTTTTGATATAAAAGCTATTTAGCTAAAACCAAGACTGCATATTGGTTTTATAATTACGTGATAATGGACAAAAACTTATATACAGGCAATTAAATAGCTATGGAATTACACTGAAAACTTTCTAAGATATGCACATGGTATAATTGAGGCTTTCTGGAGAGCTGGTGATTGTTCTAATTGAACCTGTCTTAATTCTCCCATGTAAACCCATTCAGAGTAGACGATGGTCCAGACAGAGGCGGTGTTGCCTGGGACCAGTGTCAGGGTGGAAGCTGGAGATGCCATTGGCTGGATCCCAGCAGAAGTCCATCTTCCAGCCTGTGTGCTCGAGGCTTCTCCAGGGAACAGGATATTCTCCATGCCTCAGAGCCCCATTCAGGTCCCTCTTTCTGGGTCTCCCCCGATCCTAGTGAGATTTGAGGGCACCCATGTTCTGAGTGGCTTCTGCCACCACCGTGTATCTTCTCCCAGCTCCTCCACAAATTCATGAAGACTCCGAAAACACTTGGGCCGGCTGGGTGCGGTGGCTCACGCTTATAATCCTAGCACTCCGAGAAGCTGAGATAGGAGGATCGCTTGAGGCCAGGAGTTTGAAACCAGCCTGTTTGAAACCAGGAGTTCAAAACATAGCAAGACCCTGTCTCTGCATAAAAATAAAAATAAAAATTAGCTGGGTGTGGTGTTGTGCACCTGTAGTCCCAGCTACTCAGAGGCTGAGGCAGGGGGATCACTTGAGCCTAGGAGTTCAAGGCTACTGTGTTGCACCACTGCACTCCAGCCTGGGTCACAGCAAAAGACACTGTCTCCAAAAACAAAAAAGAAAGAAAGAAATGTGTGGGCCACTGGCAGTAGTCACGGAAAAGTGACCTCGGAAGATAGCACAGGAAGTGGACCAAGAAGCACCGGCGTGCTGGGTTCCTAAAATGAACCAGGTCATCTCCTGGAAGCTGGAGGATCAAGGCTTCTCCCTCCTCTACTCTTGGCCCAGGGACACAGGCCCCCACCTTTGGAGTTGGGGCCACACAGCCTTCTGGGGAGGCTCTGTGGGTAAAAAGGGATCCGTCACTTCCAGCTCCAGGTGGCTCAGGTGTGTCCGCAGGGCTGCCTTGGGCAGAGCCAGTTTGCAGATGCAGGCTTCTGGATACCACCCTGCCCTGCAGAACCAGGATCTTGGAGGACAGGGCCTGGGGCCGTATATGTAAAGCAGCCTCGGGAGACTTTTCCTTCAGAGATCTGAGACTGTCTGTAACCCACTCCCGTGCCAACTTGGTGTCCAGCTCAGCCCTGTGCAGGGAGGTTGGCAGACAGGTGCACCTGGCGTGATGGGCCACAGCCTGCAAGCTCCCCTTGATGAAGCCTTGTGTGCGGCCTGGCTCATAGAGCCCAAGGCCAGCCAGAGCAGGTGGCCAGGGCTCCCCCTCCCCTCCCCTCCTTCTTTTCACCCTCTACCCCTTTTCTTCTCCCTCCTCTTCCTCCTCCCCCTCTGTTTCCTTCCTGTTCCCCCGCTCCTCTCCTCTTCCTTCCTCTTCGTCCTTCAGCAAGGCCTTGATGGGGCCGATGCCAGGAACATTTTATATATCCTGTCCAAAGGAAAACATGAGGCCTGAAGAGAGAGCCTCAGACAAGGAGGAAATCAAAGAATAACGCCAGGCCCTTGAGAAAGTTCTGCACCATGGTCTAAAGATTGACAGGGAAAACCTTCCCTCAAGCAGCAGAGTTTGAGGAAACATGGGTTTGGATGCAACAAGTGTGAAGAGGCAGCTCGGGAGAAGAAATGGTCGGCGGAGCCGGCAGAGGGCGCCGGACACAAACAGAAGCAGAAGGTGCTGCTGAAGTTCAGCTCCGTCCTGCAAGGGAGCAAAGCCACAGCTCTGGGAGGAGGCATGAGCACACAGGGCAGAGGCCCAGCCAGCCACCGAGACTCCAGAGAAGCCACAGTAAACCAACTGGATGCTGAGGCCAAAGTCACATGAGACCAGGCTGGAAAAGAAGCACATACAAAGGGTTTGCCGAGGTCCAGGCAAAACTTGTTAATCAAAAATCCATGCCAGGCCCCGTGTGGCCAAACTAATAAATGACACAGAAGAAGAAAAAGATGCCAGAAGGAAGAAAACAAAAGCATGATCATGACTTACCTTTTGGGAGGTGAAACGCAGAGCTGAAGCGCTCAGGCTCCAGCAGAGGGAGCCTCCTTCGGCGTCCTGGACACTGGACCTTCGTTTGCTATTGATTGGAAGTCTAACTGGTTCTGTTAGTCCAACTTCCACATTTTGACCTCCAGGGGTCGGGGGTGGGATTTGGAGTGTATCTTCTCTTTCCAGGGAATAAGATGGTTCTTAGTGACAGTCTCCTCTGCTGTTTGCACGCCGATCCTAGCATGTCTGCTTGCCTTCCAGGGCGGTCCCTCTCCTGGGCTACCTACCTCAGGACCTGATTGAGACCCCAGTGCTCGTGCAGCTCCACCCTAGTGACAGGCCCTTGATGCTGGCCATCCACAAAAAGAGTAGGTCCCCTTTTCACGGTGCCTCCTAAAGTGTTGGGCGGAAGTTCGTGTGCCCTTGGGGCTTCTTCTTGGGACCAGTCTAGCTCTGACAGGTCAGATCAGCTAAGGACAAGCAGGTGGTAGACGCTCGCCTCGCCACCTCACTCCTGGCACTGCAGTGCCCAGTGGAGTCAAGAGAGAGGGGTAAACTCATGTGAGTTCCTTTGTGGCCAATTGTTTCTCAGTCTGTGGCCTGAGTCCGTGGCATCTCGTGTTTACTCTTGGCTTCAGTGGTGCATGGGAGGAGGGGAGACCAATTCATCTGTGGCTAGGAAGGTTCTGACCAGGCCAGGGGAGTGCAGTGCATGTCCTCATCAAGCCCAGCCCTCATAGACGCAAGTGACACTCTAGCAGAGGTGAAACATGGGATGAAACCGCTTCTGCTGGAAACAGCCTCCTGGTTGTAATCTACAGCAAAAATGGGAGGCTGAAAGCAGTGACTTTGAAGAAGTGTTCATACCCCTAACGTTTGGAAATGATCCCGGGCCTGAGTGAATCTTGACTTGTCTCTGTCTACTGTTTGCTCCCCTGTTCCCCTGAATGCTGGCTTTTGCTCTCCTAGTCCTGCAGTCGGGCGGGCAGCCTTTCGACTACTCTCCCATTCGGTTTCGCACCCGGAACGGGGAGTACATCACGCTGGATACAAGCTGGTCCAGCTTCATCAACCCATGGAGCAGGAAAATCTCCTTCATCATTGGGAGGCACAAAGTCAGGGTGTGAGTGCTCCAAGGGCCTGAGGTGGCTCAGGGGTCTCGGGTGGGGGTCTTGGGCTGTCCTTACCTCCCAGCAACAGATGGTATAGGGAGGGGCTGAGAGGCCAAGACCGAAACCTCGCCTCCTGCCACCAGTCTGGAGCCCCAGGCTGGTAGGCAGGGGTGACCTGTCCTCTGCCCCAGGTGGGAGGGACCTCATTCAGGCCGAGTAGGGAGTGGGCAGGCAGCAGCCTGCGGGGCTACAGGGGAGAGGCAGAGGGCCCACCCAGGCAGGCAGCATGTAGTGGCTATACAGTCACGCCAGAGAGGTCCTCCTGTGGGGCCCCATCTAACAAGATGAATTAAAACCACGCAGGGGCCCTTTGAATGAGGACGTGTTTGCAGCCCACCCTTGCACGGAGGAGAAGGCCCTGCACCCCAGCGTTCAGGAGCTCACGGAGCAGATCCACCGGCTCCTGCTGCAGGTGCGTGTGGTGCCTGCGTGCCCTCCTCCCAGGTAGCAGCCTGAGAGCCGCCTGCAGAGGACATAGGCTCTGCACCCTGGTCCTGGCATACCCACTCAGACAACTTCATCTGTCATTCTCTGAACATCCCTCAGGAGACAGTTTGGGCATAGACTGTGCTAGTCTGAGACAGTCCACAGTACCCTTGGCTCTCTCCAGCCTTGCATTCAACATTGTCTGAACCGCAGCCCTGAGTGAGTGGCTGAAGGACATGTGCAGACCCCGTGCTCTGACACAGGCTGCATAGTCCCAGAGTGACCTCTCAGTGGTGTGGGGGCTCATTCTAATCCAGAGCAGTGGGACTTAGGGACGGGACATTGTACTCAAGGTCCCTTAAAAAATCAGGCCCATCGCAGTCAACCCCACGCCTGAGTAGGTGTCTGCCTCTGAGTTCCGGGAGGCTGTGGAGTGAAGCTGTCATCGCATCTTGTTTGTTTTAAACCCCTCCACAGAGGTGCGGCTGGCTGCAGCCATGCGTTGATGAGTGGGTTGGACACATGCCTTTGGTGCCGTCTTCTCAGTGACTGCATGTCTGGGTCGGGGCACCGCGGCTGGAGGCCAGGAGTCAACCTCTGGAGCTGACCCTGGGGTTCAAACCCCAGCTCCCCTGGTCTTTGTCATGTAGCCTTAGGCAGGTCACCATCCTCTCTGTGAAACAGGGTGTGTTGGCAGGGGGCCACATGTGCAACTCAGCAGCCCTGGCTGTGTCTGTAGCACTGTCTGCTGTCTCCCCAGCCCGTCCCCCACAGCGGCTCCAGTGGCTACGGGAGTCTAGGCAGCAACGGGTCCCACGAGCACCTCATGAGCCAGACCTCCTCCAGCGACAGCAACGGCCACGAGGACTCACGCCGGAGGAGAGCTGTACGTCCCCTTCCGTTCTCCCTGTGAAAATGCGTTTGTGGATGTCCCTCCAGAGTTAGAAAGCACACTCAGGACAACCTTTGGCAGTTAGGAGAGGCGTCATCATCACAGCTGTTTCTGCTTCCTTTCTAAACTTTGTTCACTTGGGACGTTTTAATCTCTTAAGAGTTGAAAAAGCTAGAAACCATAGCTAAGTGTTTGGTTGAAAATTATTTAAAACAGACAGAACAAACAAAAGTGAAGATTTAACTAGGATAGAAAGAAGAAAATGTGGGCTGGGTGCAGTGACTCACGCCTGTAATCCCAGCACTTTGGGAGGCTGAGGCAGGTAGATCACCTGAGGTCAGGAGTTCAAGAATAGCCTGGGCAACATGGTGAAACCCCATCTCTACTAAAAATACAAATGTTAGCCGGGCGTGGTGACGGGCCCCTGTAATCCCAGCTACTCGAGAGGCTGAGGCACGAGAATGGCTTGAACCCGTGAGGCAGAGGTTGCAGTGAGACAAGATTGCACCATTGCACTTTAGCCTGGGTAACAGAGTGAGACTCTGTCTAAGAAAAAAAAAAGAAGAAAATGTAATGTGCCGTTTTGCTTTATTTTTATTACTCTTTAGGATCATCAAATAGGTTTTATTTAGCTCTGCACCTGTCAGATTTCTTATTCACAATTTCCTTCTGTGTTGCTGAAATGATTTCAGCCATCCTCTGTTCTCACTTTGGGGGACAAACTGAAGGAGGTCTCCTAGAATGAATAACGTGTTCATTTTGTTTTTCTTCAAGGAAATTTATAAAAATGGTAACAAGACGAAAAATAGAAGTCTTTATTCTCTTGAATCTGGAGAACAAAAGAAAAATTCCGTTACAGGTAAAAAAAAAAAAAATTCAACATGTCCTTACTGAAACTAGAGTATGGCCATGTGAGAAGAGGGAAGCTGGGTTGAATGCTGACTCTGGCTGGCAGGGAGTCTGCCTTGTAGCCGTGCCACACCCTCCTCTGTGTTCAGCACAGTCTTCAGCTTCCAAGAGGCGAGAGCAGCCCAGTTCTCTGCACTCAGCCAGTGCAAGCACTGATGTCCACACTGGGCGCCTGACGCCCTGCAGGCCTGGCGGGGTGTGGCTAGGTGTGCAGGCCTGGGGAGCTGTGGCCAGGTGTGCCTTCCTGCACCCTGGCCTGCCCGCTGGGTGTGCCTGGGCCGCTCGTTCTTGCTGTACAGAGTGGCTGTATGGCTGTGTGTTTACACTTGCACACCCTTCACTCACACACACACAGACAACTGCCGACAGCCTGCCCAGCATCCACATACACTCCAACCAAACCTGTCTGAAGTGGAGAGTACCACCCAGGGGCTGCCAGCCCACCCCCAGTGCCGCAGCCCTTTCCTCATCACAGCACCATACTTCCCAGGCAGCTTCATGCTGTCATGCGTGGGTTCAGGTTCATGCTGCTCCTCTGTCCCGCATGCATTTCTCACACAGCATGCACATAGACACGTGTGTGCACACATGCATGCATCCTAGTCCCCTCCCCTGGTGGGCCCTTGCTCATTCTCTGTGCTCAGGCCGAAGTCTCCTGTGGAGAACACTCTGGCCAGACACCGCTAGGACTTTTGGCCTTGGGGATGTGTTGGTGGACATGCGGCCTCCTGGGCTCTGTGCTGGGTGTTGGGGACACATTAATGAGCTGGACACAGCTCTTTGCTTGAGGGCCCCTAGGGGACAGACACGTGATGAATGTTGTGGGGCAAGAGTCGAATCCACAGCACAGTGAGGAGGCAGTTGCCATCATAATTGTTACTAGCAGGGATCACCTTGAAAACTGGCCTGGCCCAGGAGGAGCGTAAAGTACGTGGGCTCTCGCCCTGAAAGTTTTAAGAGTTCACGTGAGAACTGATGTCTCCCACTGCTGAGTCCCTGACCCCTGGGGACAGTCTAGACCCCAGACAGAAGCAGACACCAGGCTGGGCAGCAGCTCCCTCCTAGGTCTCTCTGTGGACGGCACTATGGTGCTCGTGCCCACAGGGCTGCCAGATGCCAGGCTGTCCCCAGGCTTCCATACCCATGAAGCAGATTCTGAGCCCCCAGCCCTGTCTTCAGGTAGAACGAAAATGCTTTCTAAATACACAGCGTTTTCTTTGGGAGAAAAATTAATGAAAGAACAATTTTGCCATTCCTTCAGAAATGCAAACTAATCCCCCAGCTGAGATGAAAGCTGTCCCTGCCGTGGAAAAGGACAGCCTGGGGGCCAGCTTCCCCGAGGAGTTGGCCTGCAAGGACCAGCCCACCTGCTCCTACCAGCAGATCAGCTGCTTGGACAGCGTCATCAGGTACACCGGCACTTCCAGCCGAGTCTCCACCATCTCACGAACCTTCCCACCTCTCGTGTTGTGTGGCCTCACCCGGGGTTCATGTCCTTCACACAGGTACTTGGAGAGCTGCAATGAGGCTGCCACCCTGAAGAGGAAATGCGAGTTCCCAGCAAACGTCCCAGCGCTAAGGTCCAGTGATAAGCGGAAGGCCACAGTCAGCCCAGGGCCACATGCCGGAGGTATCTAACCTGTTCAGAGCCATGCACACGTGGAATAATGTAATAGTCTCTGGAGAGACTAGATGTCCCTGTGGCTTCTGTGGACACAGTGTAAGGGTGGTAGGCTCTTCTTCACATGATGAAAGTAGTTCAAAAGTCAGCACCCTTCTTAGGAGCTAGAAGCAAAGATGGTTCTGTCAGAGCCGTGGCTTTGAGAACAGGAACCCAGTGGGGCTGCTGGAGGCCTGGGGCCGTCCCCTGAGCCCCCTCATGGAGCCACACTGGTCTCGAGTTGTCAGTCTAGAGCAGGCCTTCTTTCCAGTGTGTCTCAGAGGGTCCCTTGTCCCTGAATGTTAACATGCCCCAGAAATCACATTAAATCCCAGGCTGCTTAAACGCTGTCAGTGTTGCTGATGTTCGGCACCAGGTTTAAAAACGGTACCCCAGCTGGGCGCGGTGGCTCACGCCTGTAATCCCAGCACTTTGGGAGGCCGAGGTGGGTGGATCACTTGAGGTCAGGAGTTTGAGACCAGCCTGGCCAACATGGTGAAACCACATCTCTACTAAAAATATAAAAATTAGCCGGGCATCATGGCACATGCCTGTAATCCCAGCTATTTGGGAGGCTGAGGCAGGAGAATCTCTTGAACCTGGCAGGCAGAGGTTGCAGCCAAGATTGCACCACTGCACTCCAGCTTGGGTGACAGAGCGAGACTCCATCTCAAAAAAAAAGAAAGAAAGAAAGAAAGAAAGAAAGAGTATCCCAGATTATGGTTGGCTCCTGACTGTCGGAAAAGCCCCCGCCCACAGGCGTGCAAGAAAGGCTGCCTGGCTACAGGCAAGAGCCCCTCACGAAGCGTTCCCTGCAGCTGCCAAGCTGCTGCGCCTGCCCTCAGAGGACTCAGGATTTAAGTGTGTAACTGCTCCCGTTTCGGAACTTGCTCTTCTCCACTATTCTCCTATGAATAAACACTGGGAACAAATCATCCCATGCCCGGGCCAGAGCATCTGTGGGATGAGATGGGATGGGATGGGTTGTGTGCACCCTGGTGTGGAAGCTGTATGGGCACTCGGGTGTCAGTTCCTCATCTGCACAGTGCATTGTAATGGCATGCTTGTGTTTGTTCCCCCCTTCCTCTCATGAAGAGGCAGAGCCGCCCTCCAGGGTGAACAGCCACACGGGAGTCAGCACGCACCTGACCTCGCTGGCACTGCCGGGCAAGGCAGAGAGTGTGGCATCGCTCACCAGCCAGTGCAGCTACAGCAGCACCATCGTCCATGTGGGAGACAAGAAGCCGCAGCCGGAATTAGGTGCATCCATGGGCTCTTGGATCAGAGAGAAGTCTGATTTTTAAACATGAAAACAAGAAGTTTGCCATCTTAAATTTTTCTTTCTCTAAGTGCAGAAGAACCCCACCATAGCCCATTGGGGGCATTTCAGGAAATCCAGTTGTGTAAAATGCAGGGTGGAGTGTGGCCAGCCAGGGCCCAGGCAGCAACCTGTCCTGGTCCCTGTTGCCCTGTGGTGCTCTCCGGTGACAGTTGTCTGTTCTGGCATCAGTGCGGGAGGGTCAATTGTGGTGCAAGATCTTATCCCCTTTAATTGGTGCAGAGAGAGCACTGGGAGCGAGGCCCCACCTCCCTCTTCCCTGGGCAGGCCTTGGGGGTCTTTCCTCTGCCCAGCAGAAGGTGCAACCATTAGCCCTCCCTGTTTGTGGGAGGAAACAGTATAGGTGGCAAATAGATTGACAATGAGTGCATTGGTGGCTGAGTGTTCTTGTTTTTTAGAATATTAGGATTAAAATGAATCCTGAATTTGTTCTTTACTAGGTAGAGGGAGATGATGAGGAAAAAGTATATGTCCAAGATCCGGTCCCCAAGCCCTCCCTTTCAGGATGGTCAGTGGCCCTGCCTGTCCCCTATCCTGTCTGCCTCATGGGCCCACAGGGTCCCAACTGTCACCAAGCCCGGTCCCAAACCCAGAAAGACTCAGCACATTGACCCAAGTTGCTGGTGTTCTGAAAGCTAAGGACAGCCCAGGGATATCTTCAGCAGCAGAGTTGAGCCCAAGGTCCCCACGTTTCAGTTTGTTCAGCCCCCAGGTTCCTGAGCACTTGGCTGTCAGGGCTGTCCTGCCCTGCTTCTTGCCTTTTGCCATGAATTTTCTCGGAAAGCTAAATGAAAACATTGTGAGTTTCATCCTCATGCCACAGGCATGGTGAAGTCACTTTATAGGTGAATGATTTGTCTTGTTCATGAATATAGTGTGGCCTTAAAACAAACAGGGCATGTGTGGACTGGAGCCCTGGGTTCTTGTGTTACAGAGATGGTGGAAGATGCTGTGAGTGGGCCAGAATCCCTGGACTGCCTGGTGGGCCCTGGCCTGGCCTGTGGTCTCAGCCAAGAGAAGGAGCCCTTCAAGAAGCTGGGCCTCACCAAGGAGGTGCTCGCTGCACACACACAGAAGGAGGAGCAGAGCTTCCTGCAGAAGTTCAAAGAAATAAGAAAACTCAGTATTTTCCAGTCCCACTGCCATTACTACTTACAAGAAAGATCCAAGGGGCAGCCAAGTGAACGAAGTAAGTGATACCCAAATTAAAAGTGGGTTTTAAAAAATTTTATTCCTGTTGGTACTGAGTCCAGTGCTGGTTTCAAAATGTGAAATGTGTCCAGTTTCAGAAGCATTTACATGTAAGACAGCTGTTGGAACTTCCCTGGCAACACCATCTATTTCTGTAGAACTTCCCACCAGGGGAGTGCTCTCAGGATGTCAGCTCGCATTCTCCAGGGAATAGTCCCAGGCTAGTGCCCGGGGAGGGCAGAGCCATGGCAGGGCAGTGCTGCCATGTCCGTGTTTCTTGCGTGAGTAACCATGTGGGCAGGGGCCTCACCTGGATGGGACCTCCAGAGAATCAGCTAATTCAACCTCAAGATAATGGGCATGTGGTGCTGGGCACATGAGGAAGGAGGGGCGTACCATTCATGGCGCCCTTCTCCCCAAGAGATGCACCGTCCTGACGGGGCCAGCCTCAGGCCTGGGCTTCGGACTCCATAGTCGGGCAGAGTCCATGGTCATGCTGTGGGAAGCCGCTCTGTAGGCCAGGTGCCACTTCGAGGGTCGAAGGTCAAGGGATGAAGTAAAATAGATGAGCTTCTTTACCCCTTTCCTGGCTCAGGAATCTGGCTCCTGATCCCCCAGTTCCTTCCCATACCCCCAGACAGGGCCTGCGCTTGTTAGAGATGCTGCCTCTTCCATTCCCCCTGGGACACTGGCACAGGGATCAGAGGCGGTGAGCCCAGGAAGCCACTCACCACAGGGAACCAGCTCCCCCAGGTCTCTGGGCAGACACACAAAAGGAAATGTGTAAGAAACTAAGCCTACCGCTGCCTTAAGGATTTTGTCTTCTCCACTCTTTCCTTTCTCTCCCTCTTCCCCAGATTCAAGAATTACGGCCAGCCCATAGAGAACCTCTGTAGAAATTAGAAAAAGGTGCCTTCCATGGCCCTGAGAAGACCCACCCCATGGGACCAGCCTAGTACCGAGTTCCCGCTCTTGCTTGCCCCCTAGACAACTCCGTAGCCTTATGCAGTGCACGGTCTACAGAGCTGTCTAGGGCAGCCCTACCAGACCCATACATGATATACCAGGAACCCAGTGCTTTAGCCACTGTTCCCACCAGGGGACGGATTTCTTGGGGAAGGACACCAGATAGACTGAATTGCAAAACCTCCATTTACATAGCAGTTTGCATTGGACTAGCCCATTTGCTTTCAGCACATCCCAAAGGCATGGGACCGCCTTGGCACAGCTGACAGATGTCCCGCACACCTGCTGCAAGAGTTCAGTCACTCTGCATGATGTGAGAGGAAACCAAGAGTTCCCTGGATCCCCCTCCCACTCCTCAGGGAGGCCATGGGGACATACCCACAGTCCCTCCTTTACCAGTTGAGTCCCTCCATCTTCCTGAAGAAAGCCTTACTCCACAGCACTTGTCATTGCAGAAGAAGAATGTGGTTGCCAGGCAGTGTCTCCTCTGATCTTGCTCAGGCTGTTTGTCAGGTGAAAGAGGAAGCTCTTTAAGGAACAGTAGTGATAGTGCTTATAAATTGAAAACTAGAGGAGGTCGGTAGCTCCTACCTTTCAGATTTCACAAACCATTTCTTTCCTGCAAATACTGGGGAACAGCAGAGACGTGACAGCTTTTTAATGTATTTATTTAACAAAAAGAACTTTTTGTTACCACTTACTATATTAGCATTTCATAAAAGAAAGGACATTAATACCAGAAGAAAATAAGGAATGTGATCCTGCAATTAAGAGTTTGTCTTTTAAGTTGATTCAATTTAGTTTTATGAAAAAACCTGATGTTTTGCCCTGATTTTTCTCACTTCACTGAGGGTCAGGGAAAACTGCTTGGTGGACCAGGCAGGCCCTGGGCCAGCATTTGGAAACCCAGGACTGTTGGACAAAGAGGTGTCTTCAAATTTGGAGTTAAAGTTTTAACTCCAAGTATTTATTTTTCTGCATTAGCTGCCCCTGGACTAAGAAATACTTCCGGAATAGATTCACCTTGGAGAAAACCAGGAAAGAACAGAAAACTGAAGTCCAAGCGGGTCAAACCTCGAGACTCATCTGAGAGCACCGGATCTGGGGGGCCCTTGCCCGCCCGGCCCCCACTCATGGGCTTGAACGCCACAGCCTGGTCACCCTCGGACACGTCCCAGTCCAGCTGCCCGGCCGTGCCCTTTCCTGCCCCAGTGCCAGCTTATTCCCTGCCGGTGTTTCCAGCGCCAGGGACTGTGGCGGCAACCCCCGCACCTCCCCATGCCAGTTTCGCAGTGCCTGCGGTGCCCGTGGACCTCCAGCACCAGTTTGCAGTCCAGCCCCCACCTTTCCCTGCCCCTTTGGCCCCTGTCATGGCATTCATGCTACCTGGTTATTCCTTCCCCTCGGGGACCCCAAACCTACCCCAGGCCTTCTTCCCCAGTCAGCCTCAATTTCCGAGCCACCCCACAATCACATCCGAGATGGCCTCTGCCTCACAGCCCGAGTTCCCCAGCCGGACCTCGATCCCCAGACAGCCATGCGCTTGTCCAGGCACCCAGACCACCCCACCATCGGCCATGGGTAGAGCCTCCCCGCCACTATTCCAGTCCCGCAGCAGCTCGCCCCTGCAGCTCAACCTGCTGCAGCTGGAGGAAGCCCCTGAGGGTGGCACTGGGGCCATGGGGACCACAGGGGCCACAGAGACAGCAGTTGTGGGGGCGGACTGCAAACCTGGCACTTCTCGGGACCAGCAACCAAAGGCACCTCTGACCGTAAGGATTTTCTGATGCTCTTTCCCCAAAGCAGGCAGCAAACAGCACACCTGGCAGGCCGGCCACACATCCTCAGTTCAGACATGGGGGTTACACGATTGAGGGTTCCACCAAACCCTGTAGGTTTTGCCATGAATGTGTGTGCCAGAAATTCATGCTTCCCAGTTAATCCTATCAGAGTAGATTATTCGAAGCCTTTTATTGTCTTGGAATCTGAATGAAGGAGGAGAGATTGTGGCAAATACAGAGTCCAGAAAGCAGCATGTGACTTGACAGTATTTATGGGCTTCGAATTTTTAAATGACACTTCAAAGATAAAGCACGGTCAGTTTAAATACCAGAGCTAGGGCTCCTCGGGGCGTGGCGCCAGAGCCTGATTCAGGTGGCCCTGGTGGAGGCAGAGACGAAGGAGGACACAGCCCTAAAATCAGCGGGACCTCAGTTTCCATCCTCCGCAGGCATAGTGACACTGTGTGGGATTCTTAACCAGTTAATGAAATGGCAGTTGTATTTGCAGTTAAACACTTGTGTTTCTGAATGAGCTCAAGTGTGTGGGAACGCCAGCAGCAGTGCAGTCCGTAGGCCTCAGGCAATTCCCTGCCTTGGCCGGAGGACCTAGGGCTCCTGGGTGAGGAAGTGCAAGTGTGTAGATCTGTGGAGCTTCTCCCAGTCCTCCTGCCACCTCCGGGCTCCTGCTTTTGGAGTCCTGGGCCTATAGTCTGGGTTTCCAAGGAGAGGAGAGTCAGGGATGCTCCCCAGGCCAGGCCCCTCCCTCACTCCCAAGGCAGCACCCACACGGGGTGCTGTGAGAGGCGTTCTCCCCGTCCATGTCTGCTGCATGTGAGGAGGGGGCTGTGGCCAAGCAGCAGCCTGAGGCTTTCCCCGCTGGAGCCCAGCTATTACCGTTTTCCGTGTGACTCTCCCAAAATTAAATGTAATTAGATGGCATCCATAGAGCACCAGTGGAATTTGCACTGTAGGCCTGGTGGTGATGCGTGGTCTGCTCATTAAGCCCTCCCTGGTCGTGAACCTCGCAGCCACTCCACAGCTCCCCTCCACCCTCGCCCCACTCATGCCCCCCACCCCCACCCTGCTGAATGTGCTGTGTCCTGACTGAGCCCCTATTCCTGTCCCTAAAGCGTGACGAACCCTCAGACACGCAGAATAGTGACGCCCTTTCCACGTCAAGCGGCCTCCTAAACCTCCTGCTGAATGAGGACCTCTGCTCAGCCTCGGGCTCTGCTGCTTCGGAGTCACTGGGCTCTGGCTCACTGGGCTGCGACACCTCCCCGAGTCGGGCAGGTATGTTGGCCCTGGCGGGGTGTTAGGTACTTGGGAGGTTCCCACAGGATGCACTGCTCCAGAATCGCAGGCCAGCCTCTGTGCTCAGGACAGGGATCACCGGCAGTCCCCAAGCAGCTGTCAGAGCCCATGCAGACACCCACACAGACACACACTCCCTGTTCCGCATGGCCAGCCCGAGCTAGTCAGAATTCCACATCCTCCCTATTTGCTTCTGATTTCAGTGCCTGCAGGCCTCACCCTGGCTCCTTGTTGGACCATCCCTCTGACTCCCCAGATAGTGGTTTGCCTTCCTGCGTTAGTTCCACCTGTGTGAACTGAGGGTGTGAAGCACCTGCAAGCCTCTACCCGTTGGGATCTTTCACATGTGATCTGGAATCTCAGTCACCAGAAATGCACACACACTCCACAAAATTGAAGCTCCCCTACTTCTCTGGAGGGGGCTTTCACCTCGTCCCCCTTCGCAGGCCTGCTGCACAGGTGAGGCTGGCTAGGGAGCGCTCCAGGCCAGCTGCCTCCCCTTGTGGGAAACTGCAGTGCAGTGCCCTGTGGTCCGCGTGAGCGGAGATGGTGAGAGCTTGGGAGAGAAGGTCAAGGCTTGTAACACGCAGCTCCATCTGAGCTGCTCAGGGCTTCACAGGAAAGAATCGCCTGCATGGCACTAGCAGAGATCCTGTTTCCTAATTACCCAGAGCATTCAGGAAGTGGGAAGAGAAGGGGAACGTGCACCGGCACAGATACCCAATACCTAAGAAGGGGCTGGGCTCTCTCAAATCATTCTGACTTTGAGGAAGCACATTATGCAAGGTTTAATTTCATATGTCAAGGTTTTGATGCACCATGTTTTTTGTTTTTAAAGGCAGTAGTGACACAAGTCATACCAGCAAATATTTTGGAAGCATTGACTCCTCAGAGAATAATCACAAAGCAAAAATGAACACTGGTATGGAAGAAAGTGAGCATTTCATTAAGTGCGTCCTGCAGGATCCCATCTGGCTGCTGATGGCAGATGCGGACAGCAGCGTCATGATGACGTACCAGCTGCCTTCCCGGTAACCACCCAGCGCTTTCCTAGGCACCTGGGGAGGGATGGGATTCAGGAGTTCCCAGAAACAGCAAGGTCAAGGTCATTCAGATGGGGCAGGACACCCCTCTGAAAGACTGAGATTTAGTTGAGTGCAGCGGAGAAGCAGGCTTCCCTCTGGACAATTCTACCAGGCTAGTACAGGATGGCCATGGTCCTGCAGTGTGGCCAGGGTAAGCCAGGGCCCTGTGGATTCACACCCTGCGGCCTTCGAGGAAGACAGGCTCCCGGTGCTTCCTTCACAGTGCCACGCTCAACTTTTACAAAGCATTGGTGCCAGCATCTCTTGCTTTGTTGCCCAGTAACCCTGTGAGGTAAATGGGATGTGTCTGTCTGTCTGTCTGACTTAGAGTTGAAGGAACCAAGTGTCAAGGTAGGTGACCAGCCCAGGGAGCTGGCTGCTCTGCAGTGACCCAGGGGCTCTGCGTTCACATCAGGCTGCTGTAGGGAACTGCATGTGGTCCTTTCCCTTGCGGAGCACCCACTTGGCAGGAGAAGCTGGGAGGAAAGAAAGGAAGGAAAAACGAACCCTGTATAAGTCCGTTTCCACACTGCTGTAAAGAAATACCTGAGATTGGGTAATTTATAAAGGAAAGAGGTTTAGTTAACTCACAGCCCTGCAGGGCCAGGGAAGCCTCAGGAAACTTACAGTCATGGAAGGGAGGAGAAGCAAGCGCCTTCTTCACAAAGCTGCAGGAAAAGAGCACAAGCGAAGGAGGAACTGCCAAATACTTATAAAGCCATCAGATCGCATTACAACTCACTGTCACCAGGACAGCGTGGGAGAACCACCCTCATGATCCCGCCACCCCTCACTAGGTCCCTCCCTCAACGCATGGGTATTACAGTTCCACATGAGATTTGGGAGGGGACTCAGAGCCAAACCCTATCAAAGCCCTAAGTCCTCTGGTCAGCTAGTGGATATGGAGGCTCCATCTCCAGGGTAGCTGTAGTCCAGACCAGCACTGGCCAGTGACAGAGGAAGGCCATCCTGCTGGCAAGAATCTCCCAGATGAACCATGCCTGTTGTGGAACCAAGCCCCAGGGGACAAGGTTACACCTGCAGATACCCAACTCCCAGGCCTGTTGTAAAATATAGTAAAATTAAATCTTGACCAGAATCATCATTTTCATAGAAAAACTACAGATTCTTTACTAGGGAGATTAAGTTACCTTAAACGGTAATTTTTTTAAAGAAAAGGAAATTTGCATTAAATAAAATCATCCAAAACTGCATTATTTATACTGAAAGAATAAAAACAGAAACACTTAAGACATTTGAAAGCTTACCAGTTTCTAAATATCTTGCGAAGAAATTTAGAAGCAGTTTTGAAGGAGGACAGAGAGAAGCTGAAGCTCCTGCAGAAACTCCAGCCCAGGTTCACGGAGAGTCAGAAGCAGGAGCTGCGCGAGGTCCACCAGTGGATGCAGACGGGTGGCCTGCCTGCAGCCATCGACGTGGCAGTAAGCTCATGGGACTTGATTTCTGATACGGCCCTAAAAGGCTCTGTGATGGGGATTCTCCGTACTATCTTTGCAACTTTTCTATCAATTTAAAACTTGTAAAATTAGGCTGGGCGCGGTGGCTCAAGCCTGTAATCCCAGCACTTTGGGAGGCCGAGGC